TGCTGTCAGCTTCAGCTTTTTGAGAACTGAATAATTTTGCTTAAAGGAAATTGCAAAAATTATCGTGGGAAGCTGTGGTACGTGCACGTTTTGCATCCAGAGGGGTTACAGATAATCTGAATACACATATGTAGACAGCCGCACACGCACTCACACACACACACGCACACACACACATTGAGTAGCAAGCTCCAGCCCTCTGGCAGGTGTCAGTCAGACAGGTAAGGCTGCTGAGCAGCCATTACCTAATTGAATTTTATGCTGTTGCAGAGTCGAACAATGTTGCCAGACTGAAACTTAAATAATTATTTAACTGGGATTTGCGGCCAAGATTAGCTCCTCTCATTCAGTTAACTGAAAGGATTAGTTCAAATGAAAAGAGATGAAATTTGTCTAAGCTTTGTTCAGTTAGCACCTTCGTTTGTATTTGCTTAAAATTAAAGCAGAGTAAACAAATGACGATCAAAACAACTAAAGTATTAAAGATCACAACTAGTTAAAAATAAATTAGCTCACGGACTTCCACTAATGGGAACATGTCTATCAATCAAATGGAGCACGCATACTTGAGCTGTATCCGAGCTAAACTTGTCTAAATCCGCGTATAGCTATAATCAAATAATTCATATTGAAATTGAATAGAGCAATTGTAATTATATGAGAATTAGTCATGATTGCTGCAACTTTATTGCACTGTCGCTGCTAGGAAGGGAGTATATAGTGTCATAGAGTGGTAGCATGCATTTGCCCCCATTCAGAGCAGAGCATCTCGCAGTGGGAACTAACTGACTCTGGGCACTTTTAATCTCGTCTCTGTAATCGCTTCAGTGACGCTTGTCGGCTTCAATTTACTATTTGCTATTGATAGGCACTAGCATATAGGTCGAACGCATATTGTTGAGGCAGTGTCCATTCAGTTATCTCGTATCGCTGTTCATGTCAAAATGCTTTACTTAGTTGCGCTCGGTGTTGCAGCTGTTCTGTGTTACATTCTGCTGGCGCGAAGAAATGCTCGACTCTACCAGCTCCTCAGTGGACAGTTTCCTGGCCCAAGAGCCTTTCCAATCGTTGGCAACCTACTGCAGTTGGGCTTCACTCCAGACGGTAAGTGGAAATGTCAAAGGTCAACAACGATTGCCAGAGCTCTTTGGAGTTTAATTGGCCATACAATGTTTTTTTTTTCTTCTGTTTTTATTTTGTTTTATTTTATGATTTCGTACATATCTATATGATCCGACTGGTTTTTGGCGATGTTAATTAAAAGTCTGGTTTCTTGTTGCTATCCCCGAAAGTACAATTATTAATATGTTCGATTTAATCGTGTTGTTAGCGCCTTTTGGCATTCAGTCTGGAATCTGGTTGCTGCTGTCATCTGTAGCAGTTTATGTATGTGCAAGAGAAGAAAAAACCTTTTGTTTACCTGCTCGAATCCAGTTTGTTATATGATTCGTGCAAATGTTAAATGCGCCTCTTTGCTGTGTATGAATCTTGTGCGTTTGTGAGCATTAAGAAAGACGACGATGTCCTGGTAGTTAGGGTATAATGTGTCGGTAATGCGTGTGTAGTACTGTAGGGATATACAAATCTTATAGTTCATTAGGAACTACATTAATCAAGCAATCGCAATAATCGAACTCAGCAAATGAGAAATTTTAATATTAAAAATTTAACCTAAAAGCAAGAAAGAAATGGAATTCGTAGGTATGAATGATAGGTATGAGATAAAAAAGAAGAAATCGAAATAAAAGAGAAGAGAAGAACCGAGAAAAAGACTATAAAAATGTTATTCTTGGCTTACACACACATATCTATACACAGCGATTCATGGCTTGACCCAGGGTAGCCCCTAGTGTGGCTTATTACCCCTACTTTGGTACAGGCTTATCTGTTTCAAAATGTTTTTCAATGCTTCATCAAATCAGAGTATTTTGTACATCAATTTAACTTTAGTTGTCGAGGCTTAATCGTCGCTTGAGATCTATTAAATGTCTTCAAAATGGTAATAAATCTAAAAATAATATGAATCAGCTAATCTCTTTTTGTAGACATATAACAAAATACAGTCGAGTCTGGATAATTTGTACCCCGCTATATCAAATATAGCGATAAATCAAACTCAATTATATTTCGGTGTAATTCGAAAGTGGAACAGATACCCTTGCCATTTCGAATTATCAAGACTCGACTGTATTCAAATTGTCGATTAGCTGTGTGCAATGCATTTCTAATGTCAAGAACACAGAGAATCCAAATAATATTATTTATATATTCACAAGATTTGAATATTTTTTGTTCATCAAGCCAGCTTAGCTCTGCTAAATATAAACAATTTCAAATTGATTCAAGCGATGAAAAGAAAAATATTTCTTTTCAAAGAATACAATTTTGTTCCTAAAATATCTGTAAACAACAGAAATAAATTATAGTCAATAAGAGCGAATTGTATGCCAATTACTTATGCTATTATCATCTTACTACAATAAACCATTAAAATAATTTCTGTTTTTAATAGAGTGATCAGCCTTAACAGAATGATTACAGCTAATTGCTAGTTTTAAGGAGAAGCTGACAACTAAATGGCCTGTTGATCGTAAAGCAAACATTGAACCCTATATCAATGTAGAATATTGCAACAATTGAGCTTTGCTGAGCTCAACATATAATATTTCTGTGCATTTGAAATAAAATACAGCTTGCAAGCGGGCGAGCTGGTCTTAACCTTGACGCTTCGCTGCGGCTACTGGAGGCAACTTATTTGTTTTTATTATTCACGAATATTATGCAAATCGAAAGCGAAATTGAGATTTCGAAAACTTGTTGTCGCTTGATTAGCTCAGAATACAGTTAGCGAAATTTTTTTTATGGATTCATTAGAATATTTATCGCATGCTAACGAATTTCGCGATGCGCGAGCTGAAAAGACTGGAGCGTGACCCACTGACTTTTTAGAATAACCTTCCATGTTTAGCAAAGATATTCAAGAACTGGAATATGAATTTTGCATTGAGCACGAAATTATTAGGGTGAGGCTCTATAGCTGATTATTTCTATTAGAGTTATTCCTTGCTGGTATGGGTAGCGATCGCATCAGGGATCGGGGGAGTTGGTCACTCTGGGACTGATAGCCCCATCGGCCATAAGAAGAAGAGATAGAAGTTCTAAATCTAATTGATACACCACAAAAGGTCTCTCAATTTCACCATATTGAGACGACTAGTGAGAGAAGAATTCATCACTGGCAAATGGAGAGTGTCGAGAGATATATATATATTGGGTAACATAGTGTATGATACCCAATCATTTAATAATGAAATAAAAATAAATAATTTACTAATTAAATTGAGATATGAAAGAGACTTTCAAACTATTTGTTGATTAAAATGAAATGAAAAGAAATTATTTCTTAAATAAAATAAATTTAAAAAAATATATATAAATAAATAATAATAAATAAAATAATAAAATAAAGTAAATATTCCTTAAATTAACTTTTTTCCTTAAATAAAAAAAAAATAAAATAAAATACAAAAAAAAAAATATAAATAATTAAATAAATAATTGCTTGTTAAAATGAATTAAATAAATAAGAAATTATTTCTTAAATTAAGTTAAATAAAATTAAATTATTATATTGTGAGTATATTTTCTCATACTTGACGGTTGTTATCCTTTTTGAGATGTCATTAAGGACAGCTGTGAATAAAGAGGAATATTTAATATGATAAATATATATTGACCAGGTGAATATATTCAAGAGCATTTTATTTTTGCTGGTTGCTTTAAGTATATTTTTACAGTTTCTTTTTTTTACTTTTTGTTTACAATGGAAAGGAATGGCAGTTTTGTCATCACCATATCATTTTCGAATGATGTCGGCTACAGGATTCAGTTAGTTCTTGCGGTCAAGTTTGGGTGCGTTGACAGCAATCCATTCCAGAGAGCGCTGGATGGCCTCTGGGATTGGGGGAGCAACGGGCAG